GGGGGGGGGGGGGGGGGGGGTGGCACCGAAGAGAAAAGGGTTGGGTAAACACAATTTTGAGTGAATAAAAGGTTGGGTAAATGAAAAACAAAACAACTCAAGGGTTGGGTAATAAAAATTTATTGTCATTTCCAAAGCATGAGTCGTTCAAATATTGAAGACTAAAAAGCAATGTCAACAGTCATATCAATACAATGTGTTAATCAATCAGAGTTACTATCTCGATCATTTTCCGATTTGTCAGGAGGCAAACGGTGTCTCCAAAGAAAGTACATGTGCAGACAACATAAAACTTTAGACTGCAGAAAACTGCACAAGCAGTTATCAAACTCGTGTCACAGAAGTGGCGAAGGAGTGACAACTGAATGTTTCCTTTTGTAAAGTTTTCAGCCAGAGGGTTGGTATTTATTTTTTAATTGATATTTGAAGTTGGCTAGATTTTTTTAGACTTGGATCAGCAAAATTTTTTATCAAGAAAAACATTTCTCTTCGGTGCTTCCACCCGCTAAAAATAACGAGTGGTCCCTAAATCAACTTCATTTATACTTGACTTAGCTCTGTCAGTTCTGAACTGTTCTTCATAGAGGATCTTGGTCCAAAGAAAAACTGTCCTATTTTTATTATACAGTGAGTAGAAATGCAAGTAGGAAATACAAACCCCTTGACGTCGAGGGTAACGGTCGCTTCTTCTCTCTCAAATATCTGAGCAATTCCTGCATGTCGTCCTAATACATTTCTCTTCTGTGCCACCCTACAAAATCCTGATATTTTCCCATAATAAATGGTAAATGATTTATTCCAGGCAATTGATCAGGAAGTCAAAAGTGAGATTGAAGAAGCTGTTGAACGTTCTAAGACAGACCCAGAGATCGCGCTTGACGAGCTTTATAAAGATATCTACAGTGGTGGGATGGAAGGCACTGGTATACGGGGGTGTGACCCCATGACTGAGGGTACACATAATTGAGGTAAATACAGACTAATTGGACCATTATATAAAGATAATTTAGAGGTTGTCAGTACTAACAAGTATGCATGCCTATAGTGTGATTGTATACAATGTGATGATAACATAGCTATATTTATATCTGTTCTGTATTTTGTCAGAATATTGCTTGCAATAAAGCTGCTCAGGCTGATACGAAGGCCGGTTAGCGAACTTTCTAAAGTTGACCATTGAATAGCATAACCATAGTCTGTCAAGATATGATGGTCTGGAAGCCTGGCAAACTTCAAAACTACAAAATAGAAGATGGTGAACTGTATCTCACCGTGCACAAATCCTTTGTCTCAACTTTATTAAATATTAGAATGTTAGGGTTTGTAATCCAAGTGAGAATATATACATTTTAAGACCTGACCAGGAACGACTGCGAAAATGCAGCACAAGGTCCTCTGGTAGGAATTGAACCTACGGCCCTGCGATTCCGGTGCAGCGCTCTAACCACAGACATCTTATATACACTAGATAGTGCATCTAAATATTCTGTAATTCAAAAATTGAAGCTGTGATTGCAGTCTCAGGTCGTTCCCATGAAATGAGGAGATTTGTATGTTTTTTATTTCTTAAACAGGGAACTTAAACATTAAGTTAACCCTATTCCAAATACGTTTTTAAAGTATTCAAATGATGAAAGTAATTGTTGTTTTTAAGCGTTTATTAGCAAGTGGGAACGACCAACATGGCCGCCATCTATTCAAATGGGGGTAACCGCTGGAATATTCTTGGCTTCAATTTTATTAAAAGAGATGCGCTATCTAGTGTATATAACATATCTATGGCTCTAACCAACTGAGCTACAGAGGCCAGCTGTTGAGCTGTAACCGTAAGTTCATGTATATATAGGTAATCGAGTGTGCGGGTTGTGATAAGGTGGACTTCAATAATTGAAGTCACTAGTCACTGAACCAAATCATTGAAGTCCACCTTATCACAACCCGCACACCCGATTACCTATATATATACATGAACTTACGGTTACAGCTCAACAGCTGGCCTCTGTAGCTCAGTTGGTTAGAGCGCTGCACCGGAATCGCAGGGCCGTGGGTTCAATTCTTACCAGAGGACCTTGTGCTGCATTTTTCGCAGTCGTTCCTGGTCAGGTCTTAAAATGTATATATACTCACTTGGATTACAAACCCTAACATTCTAATATTTATTAAATATTATTCATCGTGGTTGCACGTTTCATCTCAGCTATCCCTATTGGACGATTACTTCATTCTACGAAAATACAATGAGCCCAATCACCGTGACCCTGCACAAATTAACATAAACTCAGATAAAAACAGAATACAATGACTTGTGTTCAGTCTCCACACCATCATATCTTGACTATGGCATAACCAAGACTAAAGTTTACTTATCCTAAATTAAGAGGAGAAGTAATCTTTTGTATGTTACGTAACACGCGCTCAAAACTAGGAAGAGATTATTTCGCTGGCCTCAGAGTGACAAAACGTAACAAAGCAACGGGTTTACTAACACTAATCCGACTCCAAACACCAACTCTGACCCTAACCCTAACCTAACCCTACTCCAAATTTGTTTCTAAACCAATCTTGAAGAAAAAAGTTTTGACGAAATGTCATTCTGAGGTCAGCGAAATAGTACCCCCCATTCCAGAGCCTTCAGAAAGTTTCCCAGCTAGGGTTCCTGTGTAATAAATTCTTTAAAAACCTGAAAACCTCTGGCAACCAGGGTAGCGAAATAGTTGATGCCTCAAAACTAATGATACACTTTTCCACTTGGTTATGACTATATTTCGATTTTTAAATTTTTGATCCATTACTCAAGCGATTAAGAAACTTGTGCTTATCTGTAAAATTATGCTAAAATGAAGAGATTTTAGATGGTACGCCAAATGCAACGAGAAAAGGATGCAAGTTTTAGAGACGTTAAATTTCACTAGATATTGACGACTTTATGTTTGACTTTGTGTTGGTAACAAGTCATTTCTTGTAAGTCCAAGTCATTTCTTGCAAGCCAGGTCGTTAATCTGATTAATAACATACCATGAAGACCAACCTTTTATGGTAATGCCGGAAGTTTGCGCGTCTCGAATTGAACCAATCGGCGACTAGGAAACCGAAACCTAAACAAAACTCGAGTTCTGATTGGTTAACACAAGAATGAAAAACACATAAGCACAGAATAAAGACATAGTCTTTGACTATGTGCACACGGTAACGTTTCCGAGCGTTTCTAAAACGTCGTTTCCAATTTTGTCAGTTTGACGCTCTGTCCACACGGAAACGTTTTCACGAGATGCAAATGTTTGTCTCGATAAAAATTCCATCTGTAGCGGCTTGTTATTACCATTCATTTTACACCAGATAAAGTCATTACTTGTCAACGAGTTTCTTAAAATGTCCTCTGCTCATTATCATAAAGTAAACAGTTTTATATGTACTGTTTAGCATCACCGATACGAAGTCTGTCGCTTCTTCGAAAGCAAAC